TGTGGAGTCTCATGTCACAAGCAGGTGATGTGATAGGTGATGAAGATGGCTTGTGGCCTTGAGGAAGATGAAGTCTTCACTCTTGAGACCTCTCCTTCGTGTATGCTCTTGTCTCATTGCTCCAAACCAGATAAGATATATTCGATTGACCACCATCGCATCCACCAAGAGGGATTGATGTTGATGTGGTCTTGGTCTGGCAAAGAGACACTGCAAATGGGTCCTTGCCAAGCAGCTTCTCGAAGTTTGGTGGAGATATCACATGTAACATAGGGCAGTGCAAGCCTCTTCCACCTCACCTTCATCCTCAGCCTGGACACCACTTGGTTCTTCAACCCCCCTTCCTTCTTCAGAATGTGGTCTCTCCCCTTGGAATAGATCAAGAACTCCTTCTGCTTCATTTCTGTCATCCTCCACAACTTCTTTCCTCACCCTTTCTCGCGCTTCTTCTTCTAGCACGGATCGGAGAGCAAGTCGCCTAGCAATTTCTTCGATGAGATCATCTTGCATCTCCTCGCTCGGACCCATCGTGTTAGAGCAGAGATGGAGAAAGGTGTGACCTGCCACCATAGGACATTCCAGATCATGACTATCATAGGAGCTCTCCGCGACAACTTCTATATGCTCCTTAATGTCCTCATAGCCTTCGTCATCCTCCTCCTCTTCTAGTATGGTAGCAAAAAGTTGATCTTGAGCAGGTTGTGCGCAAACTTGCTCCACCCACTCTGTTTGCTTTGCTGAGCACTGAACAAACTCCTCCATTTCATGGAGAACTGAGGGATCAGAAGGGGCAAGGGCTTGGATTTGAAGATCCCTCTTGGAGCATGATCTCTCAGTGTCTCGAGCAAACTGCTCCACGAGAAGCCTCAATTGTTTGTTTGGATCTGCCAGTGGAGTGTAGCATGGCTCTGCAGAGTGGCACGTGAAGGCCTTCATGGCTAACTCCAACTCAGATGGCCCCTCTGGTTGTAGCAGGAACTCTTCTTGAAAAGGATATTGTTCTTGAGGTTCCCAAGGGTTTGGTTGTTCTCCGTATTAGGGGGGTTGGTACTAACATCCGAATCCATAGTCTTCTCCTCCTTGATTGCTCCAGGAAGTCTCGGGGTAATACCACACGGATGGTGGTTGATACCCCCAATGGTTGGAGAAGCCATGAGGATCCATGTTTCAGATCTGCACCAACAAAAATATAACACCCAAGTGAAAAGCAAGGGTGGAAAAGAAAAGAAAAAAGCTAAAGTAACAGACTTTCACGTTCCTACAATAACCTAGAGGTCCCCGGCAACGGCGCCAAAAACTTGACACACTAAAACACAACACCAAACTGCAACCAAGTGTAATCGCAGTCTGGAAATGCAGTAAAGTGGCAAGTTCTAATTATCAACCCGGGGTCTAGATAGGGGTGGGCAACGGGACGGGACGGGGTACCCAGTCCCATTTGGAGACCAAAGTCCATCCCATATCCCAAACCCATATGGGAAACGGGTACCCATTACCCGTACGGGACGGATAACGGGTACCCATACTACCCATAAATACCCAAAGTTTAAATGACATTTTACCTAAAGACAATTAGTCAATTACATCCAAAGCATTCATTTCAAAACACAAAATGGCTGCACAAGTAGCAACTTACACCAATTCCTACAACCCAAAGAAGGGCTGATGATGAAGATGAAAAAGAATCAAGGAAGGGGAAAGGACCAAATAATAAAACCCAGAAAGAGAACAAGTTCTGCTTCCTGGAAAGTGCCATGATTCAGTAATAATAATAATAATGTTGTTTCTACTCAAATCAATCCTCAGTTTGGCAAAATAGGGTGGGGAAGGTGGTGAATTTTGCAGCAGCAAGCAAGGGTGCTCCCACACTTTCCCACTGCCATTACTTTGCCATTACTTAAGCCCAAGATCTTGGGATACTCACATGCCAAAATGAAGCATATATTTCTCATCAGTATGTTTTCCTTAACTCAACCTACACTGCAGAAAAGAAACTTCGGGTGTGCCACCATGAATGGCGATAAGTAATATAGAAATAAAAAAGACAATAACTAGTTGAAATGAAACGACAAGCTAGGGCCCGACTGATTCCCAAAATGAGCTGGATACGATTGGTCTCTGTGATGTAGAAGATGGACACACAACAACAATTGCCCTTCTTTGACCACCAAAAAGATACAAACAATACCTTAGCATATTTGTTAAAAATATACAACTCATAGAAAAGAAACGTACCCACATATCCCAACTCCACGCCACTGCTATCTATATATATATGAATTATGTGGTACGAGCTACAATATAAAACATCATATCGACTCTCAATCAATAATGCTAAGCTAGTCGTTATGTGTCTGATTACACAAGCATATATTTCTCATCAGTATGTTTTCCTCTAACAATAAAAAGCTACAAACAAAAATGAAAGGAGAAGGTAGCCTCTACCTTCTACTGACTTGTGGAAGATGAATTTCCCCCTCCACTAGCGGCAAATGATAGTGCTCCAATGGATTGCAATACTATGTTAAACAAATATCAAATAACAAGTTACTCATACAAGCATTAGTTAGAGTAAATATTTACAAGTAAAAGTAAAAGTAAATCGCTATCCCATACCTTCTTGGTATTCCTTTTCTTGTTCGGATTCAGTCACATCTTCTTCATCGATTAAAATTATATTGTTGTTGCTTCACAACCAATAAGCACCACAAATCAAAGCCTCAACCATCTGGGGAGCCAAAGAACTTCTAAACTCGTTTAGAACCCTTCCTCATGTGCTAAAAGCCGACTCGGAACCAACAGTTGATATTGGGATGGCCAATACATGCCGAGCAATTTCAGCCAAAACAGGAAATCGCAAACCATGAGTTGACCACCACTTAAGAATATCGAAGGAGTCCACAACCGAACCATTATTTTCTTGTTGCTTCTCCTTGAATTGACTCTCAGTCAAATAGAGTGTCAACTCAGAAACATCATTGTCGTCTCCTTCATCATCACTATCTTCTATAGCACTACACGAACCACGATTTGATAGCCTTCTTACATCAACATTAACCGTAGCCTGACTCCGAGAATGTGTAGAAGAGTCTTGAGAGTTAGAGTTCATCCTTGGACGAGGTGGAAGCAAGGAATTCTTGTAATACTCAAAGAGTTCAGAAAACAACCCTTTCAATTCGGCCACCATCGAAGCTGCCCTTTCCACTCCGTACACTTTCTTCAAACATTTTTGGACATGCTTCAGTTTTTGTCGTGGATCCAAAGCCGGAGCTATGTATATGATCTTGTTTATCCTGTATTTACCCATTACTTCCTCCTCCCAATACTTAGCAACCTTTGACCTCATTCGTACGGCCATTGATCTAACCTTAGGATCTTGATGTTTTTCCACATTAGCTATGTGATCAAATATATCACACATCTCCTTGAAGAACAGATGAGATGTCACATACGAGGTGCCAGAGACAAGACAAGTCAAATCATAGAACTTCTTCAAGTATTCCATCATCCAACACACATTTTCCCAATCCTCCGGTCCAGGTGGATCAACAACCTCACCACGGTGCATGATTTTGTTTAACTCAGTCTCAAATGCAGGCAACATCCCTGCATAAACTGGAAAAGCAATCTCGAATGGTTCAGCGGACCATAACATTAGAAATGTTGAGTTCCACCTTGTTGGTACATCAAGACTTAGTGATCTCTTGCACTGGATGTTCATGCTCTTGGTTGCTCTATTCCATGTCTCTTCTCTAGATGGCGAGGCAGTAATCCACCTCATAGCTTCTCTAACCCTTCTCACTGATACCCCAATCTCATCTAAGCCATAAGAAACAACCAAATTAGTGATATGGGCTACACAACGCATGTGTACGTATCTCCCCCCAGAGATGCTTGTCCCCCATTCTTCAAATTTCTCCCTCATATGGCGAACAACTACATCATTAGCCGAAGCATTATCAACTGTGCAACAAAGTACATTCTTCAAATCCCACTCATTCAAACACGTCAGCACCGCATGTGCAATGTCCTCCCCTTTATGACTAGTAATCTTCTTGAAGCATATAATCTTCTTATGGAGCTGCCAACTTCCCATGCCTTTAATTTTAAAGAAAGACTTCAGGCTATCTTTTCTCTGGATGAACAACTTTGCACAATCTGTCCTCACTGTCTTCCTACTTGGGATTTTGAACATGGGGAAAACTCGAGACATGAAATGACGAAAGCCCTCCCTTTCACAAAATCTGAATGGTTGCTCGTCAAGCATAATCATTTCTGCAAAACCTAACCGTGATTCTTCTTGATTGGATCGCCAAGTTGATATTCCCCCTGCTCCGTCCCCGGAGGCACTAGGCTGCAAACTCAGAGTTGTTTGTTTAAGTTGCTCCAAATGTTTCTTATCACAAGAGATCTTATGATTCTTCAAGCCATTGGTGCCATGGGTGCTTCCAACAGCAATGGTAATTGCGCAACGATTGCATTTTGCTTTACGAACTTCAACCGGTGGGTTTCCTTCTTTAACTAATAACACCGAGAATCCGACCCAATGCAGTGATCGAAGGGCAGGTGCTTTCGCTTTTTAGACGCTGATGTATCCTTGTCACTTTCTTCACTACCAATACCCACATCGTTACTTGCTTGTTCAGTTTGAGGGGCTTCATTACCTTGCTTGGCTTCATTCCCTTGACTAGCCATGGAAACTAGAAACCAAATCAACAGAAACCAAAAAGACAGATGCTGGAAATTAGAAACCTAACTAGTAATTAGCACAAGAAGTAACATTATATCAAGTAACTCAATACAAAATTAGAAAGCAACCAAAGAAGGCCTGATATATATGGACATTCTGTACAACACATTCAATTCAATCACAAAGGCCTATATATATATAGACATTCTGTACACATTCAATCTCAAACAATTACACAGAAGATGAACATAGAAGAAAAGTAATTAAACAGAAGTACATAGCTTACTTACCAAATGCAGGTAAAACCAAGTCAGACAGAAGGAAGCCTGGCGGCTGCTGCTTCCCGCCGGGTGAGAAGAAGGAAGTCTGGTTGCTGCTGGCCGTCGGGTGAGAAGAAGAAACCTGGTACTGCTGCTGCTCCGCTGGGTGAGAAGAAGGGAGAGCTCAGAGGCGACGGTGGCGGTGAATGAAGGAGGCACCGAGGCCCGAGGAGAGCTAGGTTTCGACCTTTCATCTCTTCTCTCTCGTCCCGCGAAGACGACTCCTCCAGCCAGGGACAAGACACAAGACAGAGACAGACCTTTCCAAATTCCAGAGAAGTTGCCGCCTGCCGTCGCGTGTCTCGCGTCTTCTAGGGACTAGGGGTGCGTCAGCGTCTCAACTCTCACGGGCTGAATTAATTGGATTTTGTAATTTTAATGGATTTTGAATTGGGTTGGTCCTGGGCTCATGGGATGAATTATATGTCTTTGTAATTTGAATGGGTACAACGGGTACCCATATTACCCAAACGGGTATTCGCGGGTAACCCGCGGGTACCCATATTAGGACTGTACAATCCCAAGTCCCATCCGTTTAAAATATTACGGGTACTATGGGTACCCGTAACCCTTAAAAAATGGGACAGGTACGGGTATACCCAAATACCCGTTTCCCGTTGTCCACCCCTAGGTCTAGATCTACTGCCTACTCCGTGAATATCTATTATCTAGCCAACTAACTCGATTGATTGTGGTTTTAACTAAAAGCAGTAAGAAAGCAGGAAATGGTTCGGTTTTCTGAAGCAAAGGAAGAGTCACTCGGGAATGAGTCCCCCTAGCTCGCAAGTTAGGTCACAGTTGTAATTATTTTTGGTTGCTTTACTGCTGATTATACTGCGGAAGATCCGACAGTAGCTTGGAATCTCTTAAGCTGACCAAACCCTCTCAGTCAAACTACCCGACAGACGACTAATCTTCACCGGGATATAACGCTGAGGCAATGAACACAGAACTCCACTACTGGAATTAGATTCTAGTACAAAGCAATTAATCGACTAACTCTCGTATAATCGATTCACTACTACCGATTGAAGAAGCTCTAACAACCTAATCAGATTCTATCTATCTCAGGTTGCAGTAGAAATCAATAAAAGATTATCAGACTTCAATTGGCTCATTCAAAACACTTCAATCGATTATAATTAAGCAATATCACAATCCAAATGTAATTACAATCAAGTTCCTAACACATGGAACTAGGGTTCTTCATACCCAAGTGAGAGAGAGTTCTACTCCATAGAGAGAGAGAGAGGGAAACATAATACAAAGCAGTCATACTCATAACAATGGGAAGAATCTGCCCTGGGATGTCAGTCTTCACTCCTGTGATGATCTCCTAGCTCAATTTGATGAAACCCAGCTCCAAAACCACTCTTAGGGGGTGTTCTTCGCACTTTCTCTCTCTAGGGCTCTGTTTTTGCTCCAAAAGGTCGATTCCCTCTCCTTTGTCTCGAATTTGGGTTAAAACCCAGAAATTCCCGACCACACGGCCGTGTGGCTTTCCCAGCTGCCCGTGAAAACGCCGCGTTTCACTTAAGTGGGTTCAGGTATGCTACACGGCCAAAACCACACGGCCGTGTGGCTTTCCAGGCTGCCCGTGTGAGCTCCCTGGACTTTCCATACGGCCACAAGGGGTCCCCTACACGGCTAGTGTGGCTTGCCCGTGCAATTTGGTGTCACACGGCCATGTCACACGGCTGTGTGGGTTTTTAGGCGTGCCCGTGTGGCTTCCTCAGCTTCTCGCCAAACGTCCAATCTTCGTCCAATCAACCCCGAACTCGTTCCGAAACCTTCATTCACGTACTAGGACCTGAAATATCACAAACAAGAACAACCTAGCGTGAAATCGGCCTAAAACACGAGAAATAAGACTCAAACGGTGTAAGAATGGTGGACAAAAACATGTGTATATATCAAGTCATCACTTCTCTCTCTCTCTCTCTCTCTCTCTCTCTCTCTCTAGAAACTCACTCTTTTCTCTTGGGTGTTGTAAATCCCTAACTAATACTTTGTAATTACTTGTTTAGATTGAATGATTAAGTGTGGGTTTGCATCAATTTGAGTATTAGAGGTGTTTTCAGGGTGATTGTGCATGCTCGTGCTTAGCAATCTAAGGGTTGTGCATGCTCGTGCTTAGCAATCTAAGGGTTGTGCATGTTTTGTGCTTAGCATCCTTAGGTTTGTGCATTTTAGTGCTTAGCAACCTAAGGATTGTGCATAATTGTGCTTAGCACCCTTAGGTTTGTGCATGTTGGTGTTAGCAATCTAATTAGCCACCTTAACCTAGCTTAGAGAGGAAAATCCCCCTTCCAAAGGAGACTCAATCGAGTTGGTTTTCCTTCAACTTTTTAAGCCACCTAACTAGGTTAATTTAGGGAAACCTCAATGTTGAATTAAGCAAATCGGTTAATCGTGATTAAGCCGTCTGACCTTTGAGTTGAGTGAGGGAGTAAGTCAACTACTGATTGCCTAAATCGAGAGGGTTGAGTGACACGGCCTATAATGCTTACCTCGGTTTAGCAATTGAGATTGTGGTCTCCGAACATATATGCATCCCTCTACGGTTCGCGGTTACCTGGCCTATAGCAATCGTTTCAATCCAATGAGTCACGGTAGCTAGTTAGGGGGAAACAACTTCCGGGTAAAGCTCCCTTAGTTAGAATTTTCCTTTATTTATTTTCTTGGTTAGTTTGTAGTTCCAATAAACATAAACCCTAAAGTTGCTTGCTAGATAACAACCTAAGCGATTAAAGTAGGGGTACATGGATCGGCCTGGGTTGACAATTTAAATACTTGCTCTATACTGCACCCGGCTAGAGTTTAAAAACTTGGGCTCTAGTCTGGATTAATTTGTGGTGTAGTTTTTTGCGAGTCACCGGTCAACATTAACGAAAAAATAGTTCGTACCAGATTTGTCATATTGAATAGTTTAGGACACAAATGACACTTTTTGAACAGTTTGGGATTTCTAGTGAAATTAGTCCTATATTTAATAATAAAATATGTTTGATTTTCAACTTATTTCTCCATTCAAAATGCATATACTATTTGCCCCTCGTAGAACTAAAACCAAAGATACTATTATTGATCCTTATGCACCATGAAAAATTATTATTAATTTTCTATTTGGCTAAAAAAAACTCTTAATATAAGCTAAGGGACTATATCAATGGTGTGGAGCTTAGCTTTCTATTTTATTTTATTTTATTTTATTTTATTTTATTTTATTTTTAACCACCTTGAAGTTGATAGTTCTTTGTTTGGGATATACTTTCACTTTTCGACATAAAAATAAAAGAACACTGACATGTTCTTAAAGAAGGTCCAGAATGAAAGATTTCACATGTTTGGTAACTATGCATCCACGAAATATACATGGTGTAGACAAAAATGAAAGAAAAAATTTGCATATCATGATCCAAATTATATTCCCAAAGTATACATGTTTCGGCAGTGAAAATAATTTCTTTCGTTTATTTCCTGAAGCAATTGTTTTGTGTTTCATATTGATGCCCTTCACTTTATCATTTAGCTTCTAGAGTAAATCATACTGAGTATAAGCAGCTTACAAGAAGCTTGTTGTATGTAAGAGCCACTAGGCCATACGTTATGTTTTCTATGTGTCTTATGAGCATGTTAATGGAAGCACCAACAAGTAGTAATAGCAATGAGGCGGGGAGGGTAGCTCAATACCCGTACCCGCCTCGTACCAATCTCGGATCGAGATGGGTAATACCCGCGTGGGTATGGGGCGGGGCAGATCGACCCACCCTTACATGTTAGTTGAAAAATATACACTTAACTTTTTATGATAAATTAAAGAGAAAACACTTAACAAATAAAAAATAGTGATAATATAATAGGCAATTGAGTCTAACTAGTTGAAAGATCAGGTCTAACTAGTTGGGAAAAGTCAAAATAGGATAAATATGAGTAGATATTATAAAACATTGAGATAGAGTAATACAAGAACAGAGCAGGACGTGACAAGACAGGTCAAAAATAGATACCCAAGCCCTGACCCAATACTATTGTGGGTCGGATAATACTCGACGCATCGTGGGTCAGGTCGGGTAATGTTCGACACGGGGGAGGGGGGAAAATTGCCATCCCTACCATCACGGCAACATCTGTTAGCTGCAAAGAGGGTACTGAGGTGCTTAAAAGGAACCATGACTCATGACATCTGGTACAAGGAATGAAGGAAGAAGAGCCTCTACTAGGGTATACAGACAGTGACTATGCAATGGATTGGATGACAGGAAGAGCACAAGTGGTTATACATTCTTCCTAGCTGATGGAGTAGTATCATGGGCATCAAAGAAACAACCGCCTATTGTCACATTGTCTACAACAAAAATACAGTTTGTGTCACACCTTAGGCGAATCCCGCATTGACAAAGCACGGGAGAGATCCCTGGTTCATAAGTAAGAAACCGACCTTAACTGACAAGACGCGTTTTGGGGTGAAATGGAAGAGTTCTTGTGAGAACTCCGAAGTTAAACATGCTCAGTGTGGAGTACAACAAGGATGGGTGACCTTATGGGAAGTCACCTTGAATTGCACCCCAAGGCAAAAACCGTGAGGGTGGAGGCCCAAAGCGAACAATATCTTGCTCAGGAAAAGGTTCGGGATGTTACAAGTGGTATCAGAGCCTCTTCGCGTCCCTCTTGAACGATGGTGGGGCAAACCTCAACGAGGGCGTTGAGTCCCAAGGGGGAGTTGAATTTCACCCCAAGGCAAAAACCGTGAGGGTGGAGGTCGTAAGCGGACAATATCTTGCTCAGGAAAAGGTTCGGGATGTTACAAGTGGTATCAGAGCCTCTTCACGTCCCTCTTGAACGATGGTGGGGCAAAACTCAACGAGGGCGTTGAGTCCCAAAGGATTTGGCAAAATAAGGATTGATCGAGTTAGAGTGTAGTGGAACACATGAGCAGGTTTGTAGATATAATGACCAAACCATTAAAGTTGGAGATCTTTTAACTGTTGAGGAGCATACTTGAAATTTGTGATGTTATTGTATTTGCTGAAGTCAAGGAGTGATAAACTTAAGGAAATGAAGAGACTTCAATTGATGAGAGGATGTTAGAGAAGAAGAAGAAAAAGAAGAATAACTGGAGGTTGAACCCATGTTGCTATGGACGAAGGTGGTTTGGCCTGAGATTCACATTTGAAGTTGAAGAAGTGTTGTT